CCTTCGTGTTTTAAGGCTAAAATTATTTCAAAATTAAAATTAAAAAAAGAATATAGGATCTGGCTTGAAGGGACTCCTATTGGCCTTCAAATAGGGACAACTTGAGCATCAAGAAAGAATAATGATAAGACATTATATCAAATTTAAAAAACCATAGTCCTGGTTGAGCATCCCTAATCCAGGAACCTGAAATCCAAAATGCTCTAAAATCCAAAACTTCCCAAGTGCTGACATGATGTCACAAGTGGAAATTTCTACACCTGATACCTCTGCTTTCTGATAGTTCAATGTATGCAAACTTTGTTTCATACAAAAAAATATTGAAAAAATTTTATAAAATTACCTTCAGACTATGTATATAAGGTGTATGTGACACATAAATGAATTTCATGTAGAGACTTGTGTCCCATCCCCAAGATGCCTCATTATGTATATGCAAATATTCCAAAATCTGTAAAAAACAAAAAAACCCACAAAATCTTGAAACAACTCTAGTTGTAAGCATTTCAGATAAGAGATACTCGACCTGTAATACAATGCATGACTAAGTATTATAGCAAAGAGTTAAATAAAATCTTTCATACACAAAGGGCTCACGTAAAATCAACAAATAACAAGGAAAACACCAGTAGAAAAAAACTGGCAAAGGATATGAATAAACCATTGACAAAGAAAAAGAAATAATATTGAGCTGCAAATTTATGAAAGGATGTTCAACCTTACTGATGATGAAATAAAAGCGAAGTAAAATAATGATAAGAAACTTATTTGGCAAATTTTTTTTCCAGCCTCTGGGACTATGAGTATCTTTTTAAAACCATTATTGATCAGGATTCAGAAAAACAGACTTTCTCATGAGTAGAAATTTGTACAACCTTTCCAGAGAGCAATTTGGAAATGTTTACAAAACATCTTAAGAATGCTAACACACTAATCCATATCCCTTTTTCTCTAAGGAAACCATAAGGGATGCATACAAGGATTTATACACTATCATGTACACTGGAGTATAATTTATAAAAGCAAACCATTGGAAATAATGCCCAACATTTAAAAAGTAAAAATAAAGAAATATGCCAAACTGTTAAGTCTTTCCTTAAGAGTATATTCTATTATTTTCTTTGTATCTTTTTTGCCAAATGTTCTATAATGCTTGCACATTACCTTCATGATCAGAAAACAAAGCATTTTTTCAAAATCCACTGTTATCCATGGCAAAAGCAATCTTCATGGGGAGCAATGTGTGTAGCCAGAATAGAAAATGAAAATGAACACATACACACTAACTGATCATCACTCAATGCAAGTAAAACTAAAACAGCTCCAAGATGGAAGGCTAGATCAGGTAGAGGTATCACAAAGGGATGGAAATTATAGGCTGCACCTTCTGTGAACTTTCTGACAGTCCCAGCCTTTGTCCCTGCCAGGGCCCTCTGCCACAGCTCTCTTATACCGTGTACCCTGTGTATTGCCCAATTCCTTTCCTATGGCCTTCTGCCCCGTAAGCTGCCCAACCACTCAGCCAGGGCCATCTGCCTACGGATAGGCCAACCATCCTGCCACTGCAATCCCTCTCCAGGGTATGCTACCTGTGTTTACTTGGCTAGCCCCTTTGGCCATGGTCCCCTGCCTGTACATGCTGTCCAACTTCTCTGAAATAGTCCTGTGCTCCTGAGGGCTACAAAACCCAAAAGTAGTGGCCCCCTGCTCCTGTAAGCTGCCATGGTCCTCTTAGCCTGTGCACTGTCTAACCACCCTGTTTAGCTCTGGGGTTGTATCAGCTGCCCAGCCTTTCTCCTACCAGCTGCTACTACCAATGTGAGCCGCCAACATCCTCTCCCACCAAGCGCCACTACTATAATCCCATAGCAAAAATAAAGAATATACAGGTCTCCTAATCATTCTTATTCCTCATCAGTCTGTGATTCTCAGCCTCTGGGTAAAGAGAATGACTCTGTTCACTAACCTTATACTCCTTTAGAAACAGAGAAAGCAAACTACCACCTAAACCTTCTGTTTTTCCCCACAGTTCCTCTGTGCTTTGCCCCATTCCTACATTGCCACACACATGAGGGCCTAAAAATGTCCTGTGATCATGGGTTACCCCCAGTTTGCAGAAGCCCAAGGAGGTGGGCCAGCATAGTACCTTCCTGAGAGTTCCTCCAGTCTGTTCCAGTATAGGCCCAAGCTGAACAAGTCTCAGTGAAAAAACAATACAAATAGACCAGAATTCCTAAGATACCCTTTCCAAATTATCCAAATTCTGGGATCTTCCACATGGGAGTTTTCTAGAACCATGCCCTGGGAATGACCTAGCCTAGAGCAGAAGCTCCAACCCTCCCCATGTAGCCATACCATTCGGCATAGAATTCAAATAAATGGTTTTTATGACGCCACTACTCTGTTGACTCAGAAGGCAGGAAATAAAAGAGGACTTACTGTGAGAAAACACAGATGATGTCTCCTTCAGTCAGTTCATAAGGAAGCCCTCCTAGAAGACAAAATCACATTTCAGTTCAACAAACATTTAGCAAGCATCTACTAGGTACCATGCACTAGACCAGACACTGGAAGTGCAAAGAATGAGCCACAGGGAAATCACAGTCTGATGCAACGACAGAAGTGCCAGTAGCACAGAAAAACGATTAACTTTTTGAGTGGAAAGGTTAGGGGGACACCACTAACCAAACTAATCTGATCAGTCAGTCTTCCTCACATCCAAAATCCTATAGACAAAGCAGAAATTTCCATCACAAAATTCTGCTTCCAAAAATATACCTTGAATTCATCTGCTCATTAGCCACAAACTGCTGTGACACAAAAGGGGTTTAAATATGTCAGTATTAACCCCATCTATGTATAGACTAAGGATTATGAAGACACTGTTAAACATGTCATAGGGAATAATTTCTCCTCCAAATGTTTCTTTACTCATGTGTAAAATCGGGATACTAGTACTTACATCACAGGATTGTTTTCAGAATTAAATAAAGCAATATATGTTAAGTGCTGAGCACAATGACTGGTACAATAACCTCTTTGAAGAGTCAAAGTGTAGAACTGCTCATTGTGACACAAAGTAAACACAGGGATGGTAATATGGTCATGGACAGAAAGCAGGAGCTAATGAGAGAAGGAAAGTGAATTCTGAGGGAATTGAATGGGGGAAGGAGGTTAGTAGTGATATCCGGTAGTGGCTAAGATCATGAGTTCTAGAATCCTACATTTCTGGCTGTTGCACTTACTATCTATGTGAGACCTTAAGGAATCCCCTTAACTTCTCTCCACCTCAGTTTCCTCAGCCGTATAATGGGTCCGTGTGTGTGTGTGTGTGTGTGTGTGTGTGTGTGTGTGTGTGTGAGAGAGAGAGAGAGAGAGAGAGAGAGAGGGAAAACAATGGTCTCTGAGCCTTAGCACGCTAAAATGGCAAACAGTAACTCTCGTGAGCTCTGATTTGGCAGGGAGAGCAAACTAGAAAATGGGGAGAAGAGAGGTATGGAACACGGATTCACCGGCAGACAGCACATGGAGATGAAAGTGGACAATGAATGTGCAGGGGAGTGCAGGGCGGGAATGGTGAGAAGCAGGCCAGGAGAGAATGAGGAGAGCGTTACGGGAGAAAGATGTGGACCTCACCCAGGAAGATCCAGGCGCTGTCCTTGTACTCGGAGTGCCAGGACACCTTATCAGCCACCCCAAGCTGGACCTCTCGCTCATTCAGCTCGTTGATCAGCTTCACCTTAGTTAAAGGGCTGCACGGGGGCGGGGGAGAAGGAGGAAAAGCGGACAAGTGAGTGCGGCCCGCCCTGAGCTGAGGGAGAGCAAAACTACAGGCCTAGCTGTTCTCGTCTCCGCGCCTCCCCCGCCCGTCGCCCCCGCAGACGCTCTGCCATCCCAGCCCCAGTGAGCCACTCTCGGTTGCCCGCTCCCCGTTCCTCAGAGGAAAACTGACGCCTTACTTCATCTTAGCGGGTTAACGGCCGCTACCAACTCCTCAGCTTCCGGACGAGGCTGCAAGACGCATGCGCGGCGCCGGCGCTGCGCGCCCATTGGACTTGATGAGCTTGCTCCGGAAGACCTCGGGCCGCGCCGGCTTGGCGCCTGCGCACTAGCGCGGGAGCGGCTTTCCGGCTCCGTGAGTTTCACTCTTACAAAGAGAGCTGTTCTGTGGTGTCTCCCGGCTCCTCTCTGAAGTGAGGCAAGGGTATGTAACGGACCTTCACCTACTGGACGATGCCTGACACTGATTGAGTTAGCTGTAAATGGTTGCTGAATGAAGACTCAACAGGTGCCTGATGTGGCGACTTTAGTTCAGCCCTCGCTCCTAGTCAGAAGCCCCAAGTGGTGCTTACGGATATCCCCTTCAAAGCATCCCTGTTCGGGAGTTACAGCAGAAAAGTGAGGCAGACAGGTGAAAGAGTAAATCTTTTGATGTCCGTCAAATCCCAACACATAGGCAACTGACCAGTCTGCTTCTGTAGGCTGAATCCCACAGATTTGTGTGAGAGCTGCTACACTCACTCTTTCCATAGTCTCTCTCCTAGTTGAGCAGGGGCAGAAGTTAGTATTAAATAGCTAACAATTGAGTAGATCATATGGTAAAGGATGCTAGTTTATGTGCTAAGCAATTTACATGTATTGTCTCTCCGTCCTCACAACCACCCCAAGAAGGAGATACAATTACCTTCTCCATTTTATAGAGAAAGAAACTGAGGCTCAGAGAAATTCATTGGCCGGAAAAGCACTCCGCCTGCACCCATCAGGTCAGGTTGATTTAGTCAGCCCTCACTGAGCATCTGTATTTGTCCTGTAGAGCTGATGTCTGTAAACACAAGTGTATGGGTGGGTCTCCTACCCTCAAGGAGCTAATAATATAATTGAGGAGACAAGATATATTTGCTTGATAGATTTCACTCCAGAGACATCTAGAAACCAGTAGAAGAGATGCTGGTTGACATACAATGTGTGATTTAACCCATATGGAGGATCTGAATCCATTTTGCATGTGTCCACATCAATATCTGGTTTTGGACCATGATGTTCTAAAAGTGAAGGTCCAGAGCTGTGTACTTCCCTGTGTAGGCCTGGCTCAGAATGTCAGACATAAGGCACTTCATAGAGGCATTATAATGATGATGACAGCTGTACCCTCCGTGACTCACCATGTAACCAGTGTCCTGCCAAGAAGCAGTACAGAGGATGTCCATCAATGACAGTTTCTCCTCATTCTATCTGTGCCCCCTCCCCCACTCCAACCCAGCTATTCATTAACTTTGTAGAATTATCTTGGCATTGAAAAATAAACAGTGACAGATTGCAGATGGGTTTTATCTGCTCCTAGGAATCTCAGGTTGCTTAGTTGTAGGTTTGAAGTAGCCACTGCAATGTGGTGAACTAGCATGCAGCATGGACTTGCTGTCTTCTTCAGATGACTGTGAAATGAGACAGTTGGGGCTACACTCGGAGCTCAGTTATCAGCATCCAGAAGGAAGCTGGAGCAAAACAGCAGTGTAAGACCAACCAAAGAGAAGAGCAATCTAGATTGAGAACATGAAAAGACTGTAACTGTCCAGCTGGTGGGTTCAGCAGAGGTATTCCGAAGCTGGGAGAGCAGAAATCCACCCCAATTTGTCTGGAACTGAGAGATTTCCTGGCATTCCTGACTTTTGGTGCTAAAATTGGCAAGCCCAGAGCAAACTGGGATAGCTGATCATCCTAGGAGAGCCTGAAGTAAATAAAGAAGCAAGGAAGTTGGATTCTCCATGGATGTGCTAGCAGTTGGTAGAGACTGGTAGGTAAGATTATGCCTAGAGATATCCATAAGTCTGAGCTGAAAAGAGATGGGGATCCAGAGAACCCTCTGAACTTAACATCTGGAAGGAGGGCCAGGGTTTGCCATCCAAGGTGGCTATTAGTGATCTCTACTAATAACATCCATTTAGCGCCTATTATATGCAGTATTTAGTTCTCTCTAGCTTCTGCAGGTAATGCTAAGGAAGTGAAAGGCAGTCCCCACATCCAAGGAAAGGCTGAACAATTATCTAGCCAGAGTCATCTTATCAATTCCCACCACCACACCACATCTCAAAACAGTTTTTCCTCCTAACCTCCCTATTTTGGGCAATGTTATTACTATTTTCCTCGTTACCCAGGCTGAAAAACATGAGTGTCATATTTCAGTCTTCCCTAATCCTCACCCCAACATAGCCATTCAATTACACAGTCCTAATAATTGTACTACTGCAATGTCTATAAAATGCATCTCTTCCAGTCACAGTCCTATTCTGACTCATTATCACATGCTTCCTGGCTCTTCCCGAACTCCTCTAACTGTCCAAGCCCCTATTCTCCAGTCTTTTCTCTCACTTCTCCCGGATACAAATGCTCGACATCAGCCAGGCTCCAAGTCTAGCCATTCTCTGGATGGCCCCTTTCATTACCCAAGCTAGACGCTTCTGCTGAGAGAGCCCCATACCTCTCTTACTAAAATCCGACCAAACTCCAAACCCCCATCAAGTCATTTCTCATGCAAGAAACCTTTCCTAATCTTGCCAGCCCACAGTGATGGCTCCCACATCTGGACTCTTCAGCACCATAAGACTCCTTTATGTTCGCCCCCAAGAAAGACTGTGAGATCCTGGAAGGTAAAGATTCTGCATTCATAAGCTTCTCAGCACCTCAAACACTTTCCTGTACACATAGAATGCACCCAATATACTTACTGGTTAATGAAATTGAAAAATCATATAACTGTGGTTACCTTTAAGAATACAGATGAGGGTAGCGGGAGAGAATCCTTTATTTTCCCTCTGTTCCTTTCTATATTGTTGGAATTTTCTTACCCTTATCCAGATATCACTTAGATTTTTTATTGTCATGTTATCTTAGCAAAAAGTTCATGATCTTTATTTTTTTGCTTTTCTCTTTTATTCATTGATTTAATAGATATTGACTGAGCACCTATTATGTGCCAGACACTGTACTAAGTGCTGAGGTTATAACAGTAAACAAGGTAAGCAAAGTTACTATCCTCATGAAGCTTACTTGATCCAAAACTTGTGGAAGAGAAATGAACATACAAATATAGACCTGCTGTTGATAAGTGCTATGAGGAAAAAATGAAGTAAGTTAGGGAGACAGAGAGTACTGGGGTGTTGCTATTTTATAAAGGGTGACCAGTCGTAAAAGGCCTCTCTAGAAAAGTAATATGGAGACAGAGACCTACAAGAAATTGGGGAGCAAGCCATCGTGGCCTCTGGGGGAAGAAGAAGAAGCAGGAGAAAGTGTATTCAAAAAGAAAAGAGAGTGAGCATGACCAATCTTATCAAGCACTTCAGAAAAGTTCTCTTGGTAGAAGCGTCTTTAATTTTTTACTATTTCCACCCACTTCTTTCAGTTGATCCAAAACAACGTCACGAGCAGGAAAGTTGACTCAAGAGGACCCATAAATCTAACCAGTATGCCATCCTGTCCTGACCTGCTCCCACGTTGGGGACTCATGCATAATGCTGTCTGATGGAAGCAAAACACAAGTCTAAAAGGGTGGAGGTGGGCCACACTTTCCTGTGTTAAGAAAGCTGCTTAAGTGTATTTAAGAGGTCTGTTCTTTAGTTATAGGTTGCCTGGGGGAATAAAGAGAATAAGAAATGAAACATTGTGTTAACATATCACCTCTTCTGGGATCCATGGCATGGGCTTCAGGAAATTTATGGAGACCCTGGATCTGTTTGTATGACATGTATGTGGGCAAAGACTTGCAGTTTCTCTGGCCTGCAGGAAGCACGGCTAAGATGCAACACAGTCAGAGCAAACCAGAAGTGCCTAAAAGGATCTTTCCTTTTAGAGACCATTCCTAGTTATGTAAACAGGAGCAGAGCCTTTCCAGGGATCGCTTTCTCCCTGCAGAGTGCCCTCTGCTGAGCTTCCTGGCTGCTGGCATTTTGGCATCTCCAGCCAACAATGCTGCTCTTTCCTGGCTAACAAAGAACCTTTGTATTAATAGTATTGCAACCAAATGCCTCTTGGGCAGTAGCCACTGCCAAGAAGCAGTATAACTAGGGCCTAGTTTTTTAATTGTCTCCTCATATTAACCTTTTAGCCCAGCGTAGTAGTTTCCTCTGGTGCTGTAACAAATTACCACAGACTTTGTGGCTTAAAACAACATAACTCTTCCAGTTCTTGAGGCCAAAAGTCTGAAATCAGTTTCACTGGGCTAAAGTCAAGAGTGTTGGCGGGGCTGGTTTCTTCTGGCCGCTCTAAGACAGGATCTATCTCCTGACCTTCTCTGGCTTTTAAAGGCCACCTGAATCCTTGGCTTGTGATCCTTTCCTTGCATCACTGCAACCTCTGGCTTCTGTTGTCACATCCCCAATACCGCTCACTCTGACTCCCTCTGGTAGCGACCCTTGAGATCATATAACTGGGGCCACCTGGAAAATCTAGGATAACCTCCCCATCTCAAGATCCTTAACTTAATCACATCTGCAGAGTAGCTTGCCATGCAAACTCACATATTTGTAATTTCCAGGGATGACAATGTAGACATCTATTGGCAGTAGGGAGAGGGACTTTATTCAGCCTACCACACCCAGGCTTCTGCAACATGGAATACCAAAAAGACCTTTTGACCAGGAGTAAGGAGAACTAGATCCAATCCCAGCTCAGCTCTCCCACTCTTTTCTAGTTGGGTAACCCTGAGTAGGTTCACCTCTCCAGACCTCAACTTCTTCACTCGTAAAATGGAGATGATAATAACCCCTCGCTCACAACATGTTAACTGAATGTATGAAAAGCTCTTTCCTGGTACAGTAACTAGCATAGAGTAGGCACTCAAACGTGCTAGTAGAGGGGGTGTTTATGTGGGGAGAGACAGGATGAGCAGTAGTGCAGATGAAAGATAAAGTACTAAATGAAAGAGGAAATAGCAAGAATGGAAAGCAGGAGTGGGAATATAAATGGAGAGGTATACTTGAGTCCAGATTCACACATTTCCTTGGGCTCAGGGTAAAAGGATCTTCACTTTCAATGATCACTGGATTTTATTGACAAAGAAAGGCTTCCACTTCCTCTAAGCCCAACTACCTTTGAAAAAGCCCAAAGCATAAAAGTGTTAGCTTGAAGGATGTGCAAAGGCACAGAGACACAAACTGGCAAGGGGACAACGTGTAGTCTCTATGGTTCATGTGAGACAGTACAACTTTTGGTGGCTGTCCACACGTCCCACACAAGCTGCTGACCTCTCTGACAATTTCCAACATCTTCCACTTACAAACTGAAATAAGTCGCCTCTCTGTGTGCCTTGGTTTCCTCATTTGTAAAATCAAGGTGTTAATAGTACCTGCCTTTCAGAATAGTTGTCAGGATTACATGAAAATCCACATTGTATATTTAGCACAATACTTGGCATTTAAAGGCTCCATAAATGTTAGCTGATATCATCATTGCAACAAGGCTCAGATGCCCAGAAGTCTAGGGTTATTTCTTGAAAGTGCCACCCACTCCAAGAGGAGATTAAAGCCTCAAAAACTGACCCTCCCACCCTGTCTTGCCCTACCATTTCTCTCATCCCGCCCCATCTTGCCATACCATTTCTCTCAATCCATACATACACCGTCTCTAGAACTGCAGCACAGGCAGGTTAAAAGCAATATGAGCAAAAGGAAACATACATTCTCTCTCACTCTCTAGTCCAGAGAGAGAGTGTATATATATGTATGTGCATTTTAATGTTTATTATATAGTATATATGTATATATTTTATATATATGTATTACAAATATACAATAGTGTATATACTTCTATGTATTTATATATATATACACACACACACACACATCCACAGAGTCATGTGCCACATAGCTATGTTTCAGTCAATAATGGACCGCATATAGGACGCTGGTCCCATAAGATTATACCATATTTGTACCGTAGTTTTTCTATGTTTATATGTACAAATACTTACCATTGTGTTACAACTGCCTATGGTATTCAGTAGAGTAACATGCTGTACATGTGTGTAGGCCAGGAGCAATGGCTATGCTCTGTAGCCTAGGAATGTAGTAGGCTATGCCATCTAGGATTGTGTAATTACACCATGTTTGTGTAAGTACACTGTGATGTTCACACAATGACAAAAATCACTTAATGATGCATTTCTCAGAATTTATCCCTGTCTTTAATGATACATGACTGTATACTGTGTGTGTGCACACAGGCACGCATGTATTTCCACATGGTCTGGAAAAGCCCTTTCTTTGTAAAATGGTGTCTGAGCTGAAATAGCACATTTGGGAGAAAGGTTTTTCTTTCAAAATCACATAAGTACATTCTTAATGTGAAAACATATGACAAGTAAGAAGTATTCAAAGTAAATCGTGACTCTTCACTCCCTCATCAATCCCACGCCCCTCTTCAAAGTTATTCACTCTTTGTTAACAGTCTCCTTTCTATGCATCCTATGCATTTATATACACATATATTTGGGATTTTTGGTTTTTTCCATAAATGGACCTAGACTGTACATACTGATTTGTGCCTTGATTTGTCAATCATTAGTATGTCTTGGAGGTCTCTCTGTGTCAGTACATATAAACCTATTTCATTCTTTTCACACAGATACATATTTTGCAGTAAGCAATATATGTACCGGTCATTCAGGAATACACATTAAATGTCACTGAGCCTTTGTTCTTAGGCAAGATGCAACTAAATCAATGCAGGCAGATGGCTGGTGGCACAAGAAATCAGGCACACTTGTCTTGGCTGCCTTCCTAGAGCTCCTCTCCCAGGAGCTTGGCTTCAATGCTAGGCTCTGCTGAAGGGGAGGATGGAGAGGAAAGAGATATATGTAGCAGAGAATACCAGTGTGGTAGGCAGAAAAATGCCTCCCTCAAAGATGTCCATGTCTTAATCCTTGGAACCCATGAATATGTGACTTTACATGGCAAATGGTACTTTGGAGATGTGATTAAGTTAAGGATCTTAAGGTGAGGGGAGGTGAGCCTGGATTGCCCAGGTGGACCCAAAGTCATCACAAGGGTCCTTAAAAGAGGGAGGCAGGAGGGTCAGAGTCAGAGAAGTGAATATGGAAGCAGAGGTTGAAGTGGTGTGTCTAGGAGCCTAGGAGTGCAGACAGCCTCTAGAAGCTGAAAAAGGCAAGGAAATCGATTTTTCCCTAGAGCCTCCCAAAATATCACAGCTCTGCTTATACCCTGTAAGACCCATTTTGGACTTCTGACCTTCAGAATTGTAAGATAATACATTTGTATTGTTTTAAGTCAGTTTGTGGTAGTTCATTACAGTAGCAAAATGAAACTAATACAGCCAGGCTCCTGAGATTAGGAGACAGGGAAGCATAAATTTAATGTGCATACAGATCACCTGGAGATCTTGATAAAATGCAGACTGTTTCAGTAGTTCTCGTGCAGGGCCTGAGATTCTGCATTTCTACAAAGCTCTCAGGTCATACCAGTGCTACTGAGACACACTTTGATTATCTGTGTCTATATGATTAAAAGAGTAGAAGACAATAATAACTGTGTAACATTTTACTGCTTATGAAGCATCCATCATACCTCATTTTATCTTCCTGAAAGCCTTGTGATGTAGGTATTGTTGTACCCCATGTTACACATGAAGAAACCAAGGCAAAGTCAGAAAGGTGAAGTTACTGGCCCAACCAAAGTCACACAGATAATGTCAGGCGGAACCCAGGTGTCCTGACTCCAGAGCCTGTGCTTTTGTCATTGGATAGTGGTTCTCAACCTTGGCTGAATACTAGAATCACCGAGGAGCTTAAAACTCCAGATGAATAGATCCCACTCAGACTAATTATGTAAGAATATTTTCCTGTGTGACTCAAACAGCAGTATTTTTAGAATTGCCAAGTGACTCCATTGCACAGGTAAAGTTAAGAACCATTGCACCAGAGCAGTGGTTCTAAAAGTGTGGTCCGTGAGCAAGCAGCAGCAGCTTCTGGGAACTTGTTGGAAATGCAGATTCTCAGGCCCATCCCAGACCTAATGAATCAGAACCTCTGGGGGCAGGGCCCAAGAATCTCGGTTTTAACAAGCCCTTCAGGTGATGCTGATGCACTCTCAAATTTGAACTTGGCCTTGAAAAGGGCCAGCTTGATTCCATGGAGTCAAAAGCTGGCGAAGGAAAAGCACACCTTAGGTCCAGGCATAAAATTGGGCCAGGTTCTATGCAACTGAAATTAGGAAACTAATGGATGTACCAAATAATAATAACTATTGGAAAAAAATTGAAGTAATAGGACTTTGAAAAAAAAAAAACTGTTCTCAGGCTGGCATCTAGAATAGCAAGTCCCCCCACACAGCCTTTCTGATCCCTTTTTAGGAGAGACATCTGCCAAAGGCCCTCTTGGACTGTCAAAACATCCTGGAATATATCTGCCTCCAGCTCTGAGCCTCCACTTCCTCACTTAAAACACTAACCTTTCCCATTTGTGCTCTCACCTGAACTGAGTAAATAAGCTTCTAACCACTCTTCTCCCCACCCCTCTCTTCTTGGTATCCAAGATGAGAGTGGCAGGCAAAAAGGTTAGCTCTTCTAATGTGCCCAGGCAAATGGATACACAACCTAAAATAGGAGTGATTTACACAGCTGGCCCCCCTGAGGCCATCTCACCTGCTTCAGCAACACTGCCGCCCTTTGGTCTAGCCCCACGCGTTCCTATCCCTGGAAAATTCCACAGCCAAACATTGAGCAGACACTTTCCAGAATGCACCCCACCTCCCCTCCTCCTCCCATTGATATCTCAGATCCACAAGGTCAAGAAAGGCAAGCCTAGCAGCTGCCACTTACTGAACTGAGGCGCAGCCCAAGAAGGTGTGGAAACAGTTCTCAATGAGTATACCTGAGAGATAGCAGCTTTAGGCAGGGAATGGGCTCTAGTCTAAACCAAGGGTCCCCAATCTATGATGAGTTGTATAATTATTTCATTATATATTACAATGTAATGATAATAGAAATAAAGTGCACAATAAATGTAATGCACTTGAATCATTGGAAACCATTCCTCCCACACCCCACCCCAGTCCATGAAAAAACTGTCTTCCATGAAAACGGCTCCTGATGCCAAAAAGGTTGGGGACCGCTGGCCTAAACTGAAAGACAATTCTTGTGAGACCACAAACTGGACTATGCAAGAAATAGGAGAACAGCACGCCCTATTTGAGAGAATTAGACTTTGAAATGCTAGGAAGCAAAAGGTAAGAAACAGTTTAAATGTGTGGTAACGCCCCTGAAAGTGTACTGTGCCCCTCAAATAGCTCACCTGCCCTCAATTCCCACTTCAACTGATTATGATCATCTTGCTTGATTAAAATCAGTTCATAATAATAACTGAGAATGCTATTAAGCAAATAATTAAGCTGAAATTAGTTATTAAGCTGGTACTTGACGCTTTGGAAGAAAAGTAGAAACTTATTATCAAGCTACAGAGGAAGAAAGTATGATTAGAGTCAATTATATCTTCTGCCAGACAGGAGACCTGACGAATGCCCCTGTCCCTCCAAAGTCCTTTAAGCACCAATGAAGGGAGAGAGTCTGGTGAGACAGTGTGCACAGGTACTTGGGAGTTGTCTAGTAACTTAGTGGTTGGAGGGGGAGGGACTAGCTCAGGCAGCAGGGGCAGGTCTGCACTGGGATTGCTGCCTTCAGAGAGCTGGGGAGGCAGGAGGCTGAGGACTGAAAAAGAGAGGGTGAATCATTCTTAATGACCTACGGGATCCCAAAGATGGTGAGCTGCAAGCCTGGACTGCCAACCATGGCCAGAATTGTGCTGTGGCTCTGAACCCACAACTCCTCATCCCCTGGCTCATGAGAATTTGAGCTGGAAAGCCAGCATGCCTTGGTAAGTTGAAGTCCTGCCACGTCAAGACATGGAGTCATCTTTCTCATTTGGAGTGATCCTTGTTGTCCTGGCCTCCCTCATCATTGCTGCTAATGCACTAGTGGCTGTGGTTGTGCTATTGTTGATCCACAAGAATGATGGTGTCAGTCTCTGCTTCACCTTGAATTTGGCTGTGGCTGATACTTTGATTGGTGTGGCCATCTCTGGCCTAATCACAGACCAGCTCTTCAGCTCTTCTCAGCCCACACCGAAGACCCTGTGCAGCCTTCGGATGGCATTTGTCACTTCCTCTGCAACTGCCTCTGTCCTTACAGTCATGCTGATCGCCTTTGACAGGTACCTTGCCATCAAGCAGCCCCTCCGCTACTTCCAGCTCATGAGTGGACTCGTGGCTGGGGCCTGCATTGCCGGGCTGTGGTTGCTGTCTTACCTCATTGGCTTCCTCCCACTTGGAGTCCCCATGTTCCAGCAGACCACCTACCAGGGGCCCTGCAGTTTCTTTGCTGTGTTTCACCCTCACTTCGTGCTGACCCTCTCCTGCATTGGGTTCTTCCCAGCCCTGATCCTCTTTGTCTTCTTCTACTGTGACATGCTCAAGATTGCCTCCATGCACAGCCAACAGATCCGAAAGATGGAACATGCAGGAGCTGTGGCTGGAGCTTACCGGCCCCCACAGACTCCCAACGTCTTCAAGGCTATCCGTACTGTGTCTGTTCTCATTGGGAGCTTCACTCTGTCCTGGGCCCCCTTCCTCATCACTGGCATTGTGCAGGTGGCCTGCCGGGAATGCCGCCTCTACTCCGTGCTGGAACAGTACCTGTGGCTGCTTGGTGTGGGCAACTCCCTGCTCAACCCACTCATCTATGCCTATTGGCAGAAGGAGGTGCGGCAGCAGCTCTACTACATGGCCCTGCTAGTGAAGAAGGGGCTCACCTCATTCCTCCTCCTCCTCTTGGCCAAGAATGGTGGCCCAGAAAATCCCAGGGAAAATTCCTGTCACATCATCACTATCTCCCACTCAGAGCTTAATGGCTAAGACGGTAAGGGCAGAGAAGTTTCAAAGTGCCTTTCCCTTCCCCACTCTGGGCCCCAACTAGATCAGATGGAACTAGGGAAATAAGAGCACTTGCGTCAGGCAACTCACCGTCCCCCCTCCCCTTCTCTCCCCTCCCTTCCCTGTACCCCTATATCCCCTTAGCCCCAGACTGAGAAGTAACTGAGGCAGGGTCCTGACTTTCTTCTATAATGTTCCCCTATTTGCAAATCTCTACTCCCCCTATCCTTTTGAAATGTGTTTGTCTCTCCTGTACAGGTATACTTACTTAAAGCAAGAAATGTACTGCTAAAAAGATTATATATATATATATATACACATACATTCCTATTTTTGAATATATCAGAGCAGCACTGTCCAACAGAAACATAATGTAAGATACACACATAATTTCAAATGTTCTCGTAACCACATTAAAAAGGTAAAAATGTGAGATTTTAATGTTTTATTTAACCCAATATATCCAAAATATTATCTATCACTTCAACATGTAATCGATATAAAAATTACTAGTTTTCATACTAAGTCTTTGAAATCTGGTGTGTATTTTACCCTTACAAAATATCTCAATTCAAACTAACCATATTTCAAATGCTCAATGGCCACATGTGGCTAGTAGCTACCGTACTGGACAGCACAGCACTAGAGAAATGAGCTTCTGTTCTTTCATAACTGTTTACTATAGTGATTTACTATAGTAATTGTTTTGGGAAAGTGAGGAGTCCCTCTACCTCCTGCCCTCCTTAATGTAAATCAGGTTTTGTACAGTGAATCTGCATAAAATGTTGGAACCCGAATTAGTCTAAAGTTTGTCTTTTCCCACACCTCATGGTGTTCAAAACATGTTCTCACTTATAAGTGGAAGCTAAATGAGAGATATATACAGTCATAAAGAGGTGTAATGGACATTGGAAACTAAGAAGGGGAAGGGGGTTAATGATAAAAATCTACCTGTCGGGTACAATGTACACTTATCCTGGTGATGGGTACACTGAAAGCCCTGGCTTCAGCATGATACAATACATCCATACACAAAACACTTTCACCCCTAATTTTTTTTAAAATAAAGAAAATAGTGTTTCTTTGGGAAATAGCCTATCTTGTGATTATTTCCATTATCCCTCCAATCTGCCACCTTTTTAACTCTCTGGTACCCCTTCCCCTCAGATGGCCACATATGTCACTTGTAGCTACTTGCTGATGGCAATGCTGAACCACAAATTCTGAGACACTGGGAGGGAAGAAAAAGGGCAAAGATGTGGACACTAAGGCAGGCACTGCCAAGCTCTCTAGACTGGATCCTAGACCTGCTGCTTACCCCCAGATTTGCATTTTCCTAAAAAAAACTCAAACAAGATACAAACAAAATGGCACAGGAGACCAGCTGAGGTGCAAGTGCCTCATGCTCCTTTCTGTGAAGTATGGAAAATAACACTGGCAGCTGGGAATTATGCTCAGGCTTCCTCTGGGCAACACTGGCAGAAAAAATTCAGAAACAGAATGGAGAAGAAACCCAAGAACCATGCTCTGCCTTCTTGAGTTTCCCTGTAACCCTTTCCTCAACCTCCTGGTTTCCACAGTGGCTTCACAGAGAGTTTGGCTCTCAAGGTCTTAAACTGGAATATTGCCCCAGAGAGCTGCTGAGTGGACAAAAGAGAGCAAAAAGAAAGCAAAAACAGGATGGACTAATTTATCTAGGATTTGGTGCTGAAACGACCTTGGAAGGTTAATCCCTTTATCTCTAAACTAATGACCTGAGGATGCATTTGAGTCCAATATATAATAGCTAAATCCAAGAGGCCCTTGAAATTTTTCATTCAAATCTCAAATTAATGTTTAGAACCTGGATGGAATACAGTCATCCTCCTCTCAAAAGGATGTCATCACACCATGATGCTTTGCACTTGGGTTTTCTTAATTCTCCTTAAGAGAATTAAGGAGATTAACTCTTAGATTAAACTCAGGTTTCTTTTATAAGTCATTCAAAGGATAATGATCATCCCTTTCAGTTTCCATACTCTTGAAAATTCCTTTCTCCTTATCTTCACCAGCCCAAAGATTGAGACTGAATTCTCAAGTGGTCTGTTCCTCACTGATCTATTCTACATACACATCAACCACCTTTGTTAAATTTTTTGCAGTTGCTCTGCTTACCACTCTGGCCCAGAGGAGAAACGTGCTTGCTTTCACCACAGCAATATTTATGTTCCTACAACTGAAGAACTTTTTGGCCCTCAAGTAGATGACAGAATCCAATATGCCTTGAAGTGCTTAGCTGTTACCCAGCAAGCAACAGGCCAGTAGGCCAGGCGCGGTGGCTCACGCCTATAATCCTAGCACTCTGGGAGGCCGAGGTGGCCAGATTGCTCAAGGTCAGGAGTTCAAAACCAGCCTTAGCAAACCTGTCTCTACCATAAATAGAAAGAAATTAATTGGCCAACTAATATATATAGAAAAAATAAGCCGGGCATGGTGGTGCATGCCTGTAGTCCCAGCTACTCGGGAGACTGAGGCAGGAGGATTGCTTGAGCCCAGGAGTTTGAGGTTGCTGTGAGCTAGGCTGACTCCACGGCACTTACTCTAGCCTGGGCAACAAAGTGAAACTCTGTCTCAAAAAAAAAAAAAAAAAAAAAAAAAACAGGCCAGCAATAAGACACACTCTTGGAATAGGTTTTGAGTTACTGGGAACTAGCTAAAACACAAATAAAAACTAGATTTTGGACAAAATTGAAAGCAGGCTCAAATCAATGTCCTCCTTATTGGTGGTTCAAAGCTTATTGGTGGTTTAAAGCTTAATTCCTGGCCTTGCTACAAATGACTGATCTTGCCAAGAAATATAAGCAAAGTGGAATGGACATTAATCATCCTGATTTAATCATTCCTCATTGCAAACATATCAACATCGCATTGTATCCCATAGATAATACAATTATTTGTAAATTAAAAATATTTTTTTAAAATTACAGTAGAAAAGCAGGAGTTGAGGGGAGGCTAGGTGATCAATGTGTTACTATGTTCAATCTAAGAAACCTTGCTATCCCTGGGAGTCAGTATGTGCAGTGGAAAAATCACAGGCTTTGAGGGCCAATAGACTTCAAATGATTCGGTCATTTAAATTCTCAAAGCTAAATTTCTCATTCATAAAATTGGGGTAATACTGCCTACCATATATGGTTATAGTGACAACACAGATAATGTATATGAAAATGGTTAGTAAACTATGGCACATTGTTAGTACTTAAAAAAAGTTAGATTTCTTCCTCTTCCTTTAAAATCCTGAAGAATAAAACAGCCAGCTGACCCATTTAAGGGAGTTCATTACATTCAGATATTATCACATACAGAACAAGAACAATTTGGCACATAACTGAAAATAAGGTTTTCAAAAATGAGCGATGAGAGGTGACTCAGGTTGAAAAATACAAACAATATATCTAATGCCTTACCAGTACTAAGACAGTAGATATAAGCAAGGCACTAGGACTAGTATCATACACTTGGGTTTAAGAGTCACTGCAATTAAGAACACTGTGTTTAATAAGTCACCAAGAGCACAGATACAGAATGCTATGCAAAAGTCTAATGGCTTTCTTTGATGCAGGCTCCTTCACAAATAAGGGAATACACTGGAGAGGAAACATTTAGATTTTATTCATGCATCCAATGTTGTCTCCTAATGGACTTTCAAAGAAGCCAGATTCTGCTCAGCAATTTGACCAAAATATCCCAGATAGTAAGACCTTGTAGGATACAATGTAGGTCAATCAGTCCCATTTATACTTTCCACAAACAGCTTATTGGGAATTTGTTATAAAAATTGTCACATGACTAAGTTTTATATTCCTTGGGTAGATAAAATTATGTATATTATGCCTCAATTTCAGAAGACAACTCTCAAGGAGCTTAAGGACACATAGGTCTCCATACATACCGGTAGCTCTCCATGTTCTAAGTGGTTTCACAAGTGTTAAAGGCAGGTTGCCCTCACCTACCAACACTCTCTTTCTTGTCCACATGACTAATGCCAGCCAGAGTTAGCCTTGGATATCTTCTCCCTACTTGGAGAAGTGTTACCTGGTTCAAATCAGAATTGAATTCATGACCTTGATTTCATTCTCACCATGCTCAGTCACTGGCCAAACTAAATAGTGAAAACAGCAGGCATGGGAAGAGATACTTCAAGGACACACATAAAATAAGCAGAAACATAGTATCAATACATGGTCAACAAGAGCAGCAATGGACCCAAGGACAGACCACAGTTCTTTGGCTACTGTCAGCCACTCAATTTTGTGACTCCTTCAGTACCTTTCATGTCATCCTTCAAACTACTGACTAGTCTGGAATCTTGTCCTTTTAATTAACAAATCTTCATTTATTTTTGCAATATTATAAATTCAGTGGTGGTGCATACAAATGTTGACTGTTATTCATTCATTCACTCATCTGTCCATCTATTCATCTACCTATTCCACATTTATTGAGAGCTAGGTGCTAAAATTGCCCCAGCTTTGCTGGTATTTCTTTTGGAGATATACATTGATATATAAATGATGTTTATTCTTTTCTGATTATAAAAACTTTTATTCATTTTAGAAATTTTTGAAAATACAGAAAACCATAAAGGGTACCCATAATTATACCATTCAGGATAACTACTGTCACTCTCCTTCATGTTTTTTTTTCTCACTTAACGTTATACTGTACATATTTTCCTGTCATTAAGTCTTTTTCAAAAACGCAAATTATAATGGTTGCATGTTTTTCCAACAAATGAATATATAATATTTTAACTATTTCCATATAGTTATGCTAAAATCTAGGTTATTTCCAATTTTTCACTGTTATAATACCACTATAAATACCCTTGTGTATAATTCTTTGACACATCTCTGTTCAATTCCTTAGAATAAATTCTCCAAAGCAAAAAAAAAAAAAAAAAATCTCCAAAGCAGTATTACTAGATCAAGGAGCATTAAATATTTATAACAAATTTGATTCAGATTTTTGCTGGCATTTCTTGAAGTGTCATGTTTCCCTGAGATATCTCCTAAGAGAAGTTATAAGTGG